GTCCTTTACTTCATCAACTCTCGACGGGTACGTCCACTGGGCCTTTCTGCCGAATATCCCCGTGAATCCGTTCCCTTTCCTTACCGACCTCTCCACACGGTCGCCCCCCGCCTTCATGATGACGCCATTGGTCAACTTCGACTCCCACTGACCGCCTACCAGACCTACCGTGAGATCCGCCAGTTCTCCTAGTCTCACCTTACCTTCGGCATGGAGCTTAAAATCTTGCCTCCCTTCGGGGAGGCGTGTGTGTGTCACCCTTGGAGTCATAGGGATGCTTTTGCATTTGTTTATTTTACAGCTGGGGGACCAGGCATCTTGCTGCTGACCTGGTCTAACAAAGCTAGGCAGCAAGATGGGATACTGGAGTTGGCCACTCCAGCGTACCTGCATTTTTTCCGAATGGCATGAGGCTAAGCCTAGAACCTCACTTGCTGCAGACATGAGCGATCATCATCATTTCGACCTGTTCGTCGCCTTCGACCTTACGCTTTTGGCCTCACTTCCTCTTCCAGACCCCCAGGCTCCGTTGGTCCTTACTGGTACTCTTAGGAAATGGAACCCTAGGCCGGCGTGTGGCACCGCATTCAGTTCAGTACACAATATCTCAAGTGTGTGTATGAATACCTAGCACTCTAGAGTTGCTGATTGCTTAGCCGAAGTGAATTAGGTGCAATAGTTAGGGAGCGGGACTTTAGTCTTACACCGCCCGGGTAGAGTAGACTAGAAAAGGGGCAACAGAGGGAAAGGCACCGACGCACAAGTGTGTCGAGTACCATTTCCCTCTGTTACCCTAATTAGAGGGGGGGGGTTGGGGTGTTTGAGACGAAAGTCAGTTAAGAGAATCCAACGCATGCAGAAAACAGCTGAATCAGTTACACGGTACTCCGGAATGAAGGCGGCGCCCCCTTGCCGGGGATCACACTGTGTACCCAAGTGGGACGACGCAGCGGCACACACTTAGACTTAGACAATGGGTTTGCAGTTGCATCAATTCCCCGAGGAAATGAATGAGGGAACAGAAAGGTGGCAAAGTCCGCGATCAACTGAATGTTGAACAAATGTTTGCGCACATCTGCAGAGACTCACCGACAGCTCACGAGCGGCTGAAAGTGGCGGAAGGACATGTTTTGGGGTTTATCATGACAACGACCGTGGAAGCAAACCAAAGAAGTGAACAGCGTGTCCAACAGTTCAAGTTGTCGCAGGTACAGGAAACTGGCCAAGTTTCCCTGCCCACTCTTATCCACAGCTTCGTTTGCGGGTGATAGGATAAGAGTGTGACACGCCCCTGCTTGTGGAAAACTCTTAGAAACAGAGTGTGACACACACACACACACACGCATGCACTCACGCATATACACTTTTCATATGCACATGTATGACCTGCATTGAAACCCAACATGGCCTGCATGCGTGGAAATGCCATGTTCTCAGGTCTGAGTGCACCTTGAACGTGATACCGTCTTTGGGAGGGCGGGTGCTCATGCCACTTACTGATGGTGGCATGCAATACCTGATTGGAGGCAAGCAGCTGCAAGCGCCCCACAGGTCCTGAGAAAGAGCTCAAGTAGCTCAATCTCCACACACTGTGAGCGACACGTGAATGTCAACACATGCAGTGTTTTTTTAAAATGAGGGTGATGGATGCCTTGGTTTGATAGACTAGAACGGACTCGTCATGAAGGTGCACGGGCAAACCTGGGGATCAAGAAGGGCAGATACCTTTTCGAAGTCAAAGTGGTCGAGGCCCACAATCCCTCGGAAGGCCGAGACTCGCTTGGAGATACTATGCTGCTTACTTGTGTACCGCGCCTTAACATCTATTTTTTCTGAATCTGCCATGCAATGTTGGACCATGTATTCCCGCAGCCACCGGTAGGCGCCCAGAGGAGCTTTCGCTCGACAGTCTCCAGGAATTTGGTTCGCGTAGGCTTCTCCACACAGGTGCAATTGTGACTCGGGAAGGAAACACCGAAGTTGAACTTAGCAGATGAACGTGCAAAACACGGCGGTGCTTGTGTGAAACTGTGAAACCCCAATAGTGAATACAGTAATGCAGAAACATTTTTTTGTATTCTACCATCCGGCGCCGACACAAGAAAAATAAATATACTGATATACACACACACATATATATATATAACATACATTCCAGGAACCCGAGCACTTGTCTCACATTTGAACTCGCGACCGCAGGGCACATCGCTTCTTTTGGGAGAGGGAGGCGACTCCGTGTACTTCGACAACGATGGGTTCTATGTGGCAGATCAGAAGCGAGACTTGGCATGTACATATATATTATAGATAGATTATATATATATAGAGACTTTGTGATCAGACAGCAGGCAGCAGACCTAACCCAGTTTTTTGATACTGCGACCTGTTTTGGCCAATATCCTTCCCCACAGCATTTGAGGATTTTTGTTTCTGAAATTGTACTGAAACGTGCTTGATTTTCTTGGTCCAACAGATGCACACACATATATAGGTATACATATATGTGTATATACTTAAACATGTGTATATTACTGTGCTATATGAGTTGTCTCAACATTTGCCCACATGTCAGTGTGGATTGATACAAGATAATGGTATACTGTGCTTGCACAATCATTCACGCATCTTGTGCCTAGGTGAGAGTACTTCACAAAGATTTTCTCGAGATAATGTGGTGGCGATACTGCTGAATCTCGATGCCGCAAGCCCGAACGCCAACACTGTGGCCTACTCAGCTTTTTCAATTCTGCAAGCTTTCTTCTTTTTGGAGGGCTCCTCTTAGACTCCTCTTCATAGCCTTTCATTCTGTTTCCATTTTCCCAGGTGAGTCTGTTCCGGGAGGCTCAGCTGAATTGGCCTGTTGGACTTTCCAGCAAAGAGTATACTGTAGTATAGCGTATTTGGAGGCCATGGCTATTAGGTTGAAAGATGTTGAAAGCTGTTAGGTTGGAGGCCTTATGCTGTCAGAGGGGCGAGTTTGGTGGCTTGAGCCTTCGGGGCCGAGGATGGTGTGCGAGTTGCACAGCCGCAGAAGCTGCCAGAGAAGTTGTTGGGCAAGCCGCTCTTCCCTCATGTGAGCTTTAAGAACATCACCCTGCATGTCAACTTTGGGCCTCCTTCGGTGTTACTTGGCCGCCATGGTCGTCACATGCCAAGCAATTGAGCCGAAGCGTTTCATCAACCGCAGCAAGGCCTTTGCCATTCACGTGCCTTTCTGTAGCAGAAGTGCCCACAGCAGATGGCGTAGAGGCTCCGGCACCGACCAAGGACATGGGGCTCCAGAAAGTACATTCATTCGATGTAAAGGTATAGGCACCATTTATCTCTGTTTCCTTCTTTGCTTTATATAGAGTAAGCTAGCAATTGAATGGCTCAACGTTCCCGTCGTTTGTTTTGGAGTCGTTATAGGGTGCCATGTGGCACGCAGTACCGGTTTGGGCGACAAGGGAACTATGTATCAATTTGTAGAGGTAGTCACGAAGATCGAGCGAAATTGAGCCTGAACAAGGTGTGAAGAAGGCTTGGAGTGTGCTTACTGCAACTGAAGCCTGCCTAAAACTCAATGGCCCTCAACCAGGAATTCTGAACGTGATAGAGATAGAGAGAGAGAGAAAGGGAGTTTCAACGAATAGTCGGAAAGAAAGAGGGTTACCAGCGCCATTGAAGCTAGTTTTGAGTTCAAAGTATTTCGCGTGCTACTGGCAGGAGTCAGAACTTCTCAGAACCTCTCATATGGGTCTAAAAACTGCCCTTATGAACAGCTCAGAACTTTACAAACCAACTCTTATCCCTATATACTCAGCGAGTCTGATTGAACTTTCGGCTCCCCTCTTCCCGCTTCCTGTTGAGCACTTCACGGCCCTATTGCATATTTGTGTGGGCAACTCCGGCCGTGGCCCGTGTTAGATGAGAGTATACTGTGGCGGGATTTGCTAGGATTGTACCCATCTGCTGACAGATGGTGAACATGCTGCACTGCATATTTCATTGTATTTTCGGGCAGGGTGCCAAGTACTCAGCGTGCGGCTGTCTCTATGCACCAGGATGGAAAGTATGAGGTTATCTTCCCTGTGGCCGTGCCTGATGAGGGCACTTTCGACTGGTTGGATGACTTCTTGGACAAGAACCCCAAGTACGTGGAGCAGCTTGGACCTAACTCTTCTAGAATTCTAGAACTTCTAGCAGAACAAGGAGAGAGACAACCCGCAGACTGTTCAGAAAGACCTGGCAAGCGCAATCGGTTCTGAGGCTGTCCGACCGTGCCATTATCAAGTGGGCGGAGAAGAGCGGGATCAGCCACACAGAGCAAAGCACGTGGAAACATTGCAACGACAAACCAGACCCACAGCTGCTTTGGCTGACTCAATTTATTCCAGCTGTGATTTCTTCATATTTATTTTGGATGATTGTAGACCAGCTTCTTCGCCGCGTTTCGGATGTTTGCATTGCGGAATGCCCTGAATTGCAGTTGAAGGTTCCGCGTTCCACTCCTGGACGACTTCAGCGCACGGCGTGTGATCCAGGCGGTGGCACCAACTCAGCCGCGGCATTACATAGCCGCAGGTCTCAGCCACTGGAACCCTAAGCATCAGCATTCAGAGATGAAGATCTGGAGATTGAACAGGTTGAAAACAGAGAGTCGCTTGCAGGGGGCACATTCTAATTGTGTTTGAGGTTATGGAAGTGAAATCAAATCTGGTCAAGGAGGACTGGGGGCACCTTGATTCGTTGAATTCAACTTACTGTAACCAGCAACAGTTTTGTAGCAAACTCTTATGCTGCATTCTTATGCCAATATTGATGGTGCCGTGCACTCAGTCTCTCCCTTTCTCGCTTCTCTCTCTCTCTCTCTCGCAGGGCTGGTTCATTTTGTTGCTCTATTGCATTGAAATACTGTCTTCTTAACGTGTTGAGATGAAGTTTGTTTCGTCTTTATGCACAGTGTTTGTATCATGTTACGCAAGCCAGCGGTCAGGCCAATAGGCCCTAGGCCCTACTTCGGTGCACGAAGTGAGAATCGAACCAAGTGAGATGAACGGGTCGAGGAGGCAGAGCCCAAGTAATTGAACCTATACTGTAGCAGTGGTGTAATATGGTGTAAGTTGTGTGCCATTTGGAACCTCAGTCGCAATCAGGTTCCAGTTGCTTGTGCTTTGCTTTAGGCAGTGCAGGGATGAATCCTGATATTTGAAACGGGCGCTACCTTGTTTCAGTTTTGCAATGCCGCCGGCTAGTATGTTGGACAGTGAATTAGCTTGGCAACGGATGCTGACAGCGGCCCCTTCCGGGAATGTGCCGTCAGCGCTGAGGCCAAAGAGCTTTCATGCAAGAAACGCACGCAGACCACACCTCCTGCGAACAACATAGTTGAAGTGACCAAGGCAATTGTGGCTTTGTGCTAACCGCTGCTAACCTTATGCATGTGCACAATTGTGTGCATAGATACAATTACACACATATATACTGTACATATGCGCATTTTCTGCTCTATCTAGTTAAGGACAAATCACAAAAGTGTCATCCTGGTTGCTCTGACTATTGTTTCTAATTTTCGAGCTCTGCCAAGGCAAACACATATACATGTACAGCATAATTTATGCAAAACTATGCATCTATGCATTTGTATGCAAGGTGTCTCAGGATGGTGGGGAGTAGACAGAAGAGAGTTTCTGTACAGCAGTGACGGGAGCGAGCTGCGGCTTTGGTGCATGTCCGAATGCTTCAGGAGCGAAGCCAGCTTCTCAAAAGATTCAGCGAGAACTATTTCAAGACGGTTGCTGAGGCAAGATGTCTTGTCTGCCACAGCCTTTTTGTTCTTCTGTGTGCTTCCTTCTAGTATTGAGGTGGTCATGGGGGAACCGCCGGCTGACTTTAAGGAGAAGGCCAGAAGCTTCGAGAAGATTTCAGATTCCAGTTTCGGTTGACGACATGCGGGGAGTGGCTAACTGGCATTGCTTCCAGGTGCACAAGGCCCTGCTCACAGAGAAGCAAGAGAAGGCCACTCAGGATTGGAAGAGGCGGAAGATGGAAAAGGAGCAGGACGGGCCGATTGGCAGTTGGTCTGTTGGTGTGTTGAGAAAGGTGACTTGTCAGATGCAATGCAATGTCAAAGCGCATCAGGAACGCCTTCAGCGCAAGCGCCAGCGAGAACTGGAAGAGGTGGGGCTGTGGCGCTGACAGCATAAATTGAGGGCCCATCAGGCATTCTCTCTTCCCCTCCCTCCCTCCTTCCCTCGCTCCCTCCCTCCCTGTCTGTTTGAGTCTGTCTGTCTGTTTGAGTCTGTCTGTCTGTCTGTCTGTTTGTCTGTCTCGCCCTCTCTCTCTCTCTCGCTCCCTCCCTCCCTCCTTCCCTCTTTCCCTCCCTGACCCCCTCCCGGACACTGAGCCACTAAGCTTCTTTTTTTTCCACAAAGGCTCAGAAGAAGTTGCCAAAAAACTCAAAGCAGGATGTCGCGCACCAACTCAACGCACACCATCGCGACTGCACCAACCCATGTGAAAGCACAGAAGTTGCTCCTGCTCAAGGCCAAGAAAAGAGCTGAGGAGGAGGCCAAGAGGAAGCTGGAGGAAATCTGTTGGTTGTGCGGGCATTTGCCATGGAGAGTGCATATTTTGTTCTCATGTAGCCAGGGGCAAGATCTAGCCAGGAGGAGGGAGACAATATGTCATGCGGCCCTCCAACAAAGGAGCCTCAAAAATAGGCTCAACTGGAATCATGGAACGGTTCCACCCAAAGAGCCGTGGCAAGTCTATCAGTATACAACAATTTTTTTAAAAAAAAACTATATATATATATATAGGTCCCTAACAAAACCGTTGCAAGGTTCGGCCAGATGCCTCGTGGAGCGTGAATACATTTAATTGAGGTGAGTTGCATAAAACACCTCCCCGGCCGCCATCAGAATCAAACCCCTAGAGGAGTTGGAGAGGCAAGCCGCGGAGGCTGCTGCTGAGGCAGAGAGGGCTGCACAGGCAGCTGAAAAAGCCGAAGAGGAAAAGAAGGAAGGAGAAAAAACGGAAGGAGAGAAAGGCGAAGGAGAAAGTCAGGCTTCAACAGTTGTTCCTGTCTCTCTACCCTTTCATCTCCTTTGTTTTTTGCTTTTGGCTGGCTTTTTGCCTCCTGATCAATCGGGTTTCGATGTCCCATGGTCTTGACATGTTCCAAGGCAGAGACGAAGGGCAATGACGTACAGGACTACAGCGAAGCTGAAGCTGGCAGAGTGGGTTGACGCAAGATAGTTGGCGGTTTAGACAGAACCTTGTTATTTCCGGGTGCGTTTCATGAAAACGAGGAGGCAAAGACAGAGGTCAAAGAAGAGAAAGAGGTGAAAGACGAGCCGAAGACTGAGGTGAAGGATGAACCCATGCCAGAGGTAAAGCAGGAGACGGTCAGTGAATGACAACTTCACTCCACTTGACCACCCATGTAGATAATTCAAGAAGTGGCTGTCGCATGGTAAACAAGCTGGCGCAGGAAGTGAAGGAGGAGGAACCTGAAGAACTTGATGAACCCTGCCCACAGGTTGTGCTCACAGAAGAGGACAAGGTGAGGGCTGCCAGGGAACCTTGAACTTGCATGAGAGTTCTGCTCAAGAATTTGCCTTCGTAGTGGATGGTAAAAAGAAGTTTACGCAAGACTTATGGGAGTCGTAGAAGTACTATATTTGTAAATATACAGTGCATAGGTATATGTATTTACATAAATGGCTAGGACTCTAGGACATCACTGGTTTTGAAGGCTGTTGCTCCAAAGCGAAGACTAGTTTTGCTTGAGGCCGCCTGGTTCCGCAAGAAAGCGACACCGGATCTCACTAGCTGGACTTTGGGTAGTGGCTTAGAAAAAGGGCTTGGAGAAACGCAAGTGATCGGTTTTGAAACAGCATTAATTACATGCAGTCTTCACCTTTTCCTCACCCAGGTTGCTTCGCGAAGTTCAGCATTCCTGATAAGGATGAGGCCATTTTGATCGAACGGCCGAAAGTTTGAAAGCTTCGCGATCTTTTTTGCTCGTAAAGTGGCGGTCCAGGGCTTCAGTGAGATTCGGTACGGATGGTCAGCAAAGAATGAGAAAGCAAACGAGTACTTGGCGCAGCACGGCTTGCAGATGTTAAACGCTTTGTTTGTCATCGTCATGCAGAGTGTTACCAGAGCTTCATGTAGATGTACTTATATATATATATAATATTAGAGTTGACGATGTTGACGTGTCAAAAACTTCACTTAGGAACTATATCCGCAAGAGCAAGATCTCAAATCGCATTGAAGACTTGATGCCAGGAGATTGGCCACTCGAACTACGCATAGGAATTTCCTGGATGTGCATCACACACACACACACACACACTTTTTAGATCCGTTCAGTGGCATGGGCAGAAACCCCCTCCTTGAGTTTTTTCAGGGTTTTGCGGCCCACTAGGGTCTAAGGGGAGCAAAGGGGCCGTCAGAATTCCCGAGGTTCAAGAGCAAACTTGCAGAATGGCAGAAGACTTTGGAAGATTTGAAGAACAAGCAGAAAGAGTGCCTCTCCCGCATTTCTGTTGCCTTGCTGAGCTGTGCTGTTTTGCCCTGTGCCATCTCTACCTCTCATGGCGAGGTTTCAATTGCGACCTCCACAACCACCACAAGAGAATGTGCCGGTGATGCCTGAGGCAGAAGCTCTTCGGCTCTCATCAGCAAAAGTTCGCAGGGTCTTGTGCCATGGACAATGCTCAACCCCTCAGGCACAAGCGGCTCAAGTGGAAGGTGGCGAGGCACCGCAAGATGGACAGACCCAAGCAGGACAAGAAGGACAGACCCAAGAAGGACAGACCGAAGGAGAGGCACCAAAAGAGCCAAATAGCGAAGAGCCGCTGAAGGCCGGCAGCGCATTGCACACTCGCGTCTCACAGGGCTAAAAGGTGCGCATTTTCGCAGGCTGACATCAAGCCGCCGTCACCTGCGGAGGTGGACACATGGTCATTCTCACGTTTGAGTATGAAAGTTCAGCCAATTGTAGTCGCTCAACATGCTTTGTGGGTACAGCCTGTTACAGCTGTGGGGTTTCTCTTCAGGTCGATGTCATGGCTGTGGATGATGTGTGCAATGTTAATGGCTCGCCTCTTTTCGCACAATTCGCCTTTGAGGACGGCGGCAATGACAGATGAATGACACTAGGCCCACTAGGCCACTAAGATTTGCCTGATTGTTGGACATATGGTACAAAAGATTATCAACGGTTTGCGAAAGTTTCACGACACTGTCACAGGACTGGGTTCTTCTGAACTTGCTACTCGGACTTCTTGAGGTTGAAGTGGAGAACAATGGCATCATCAATGCATGTTGGCATCTGTTGGAAACCACCCCCAAAAGGACACCTTGATGACTTGAGATCCTGAGCGGTCTCCAACTTGAGCCAAAGAAGATAGGCTTTGGCCTCCAACCTAATAGCGATGGCCTCCAACCTCATCATGAAAGCTGCTAGCTGGAGTCTGTCTTGCTTTAGCAAGGAGGGAGGGAACCCAGGACCTGCGTCCTAACCCCTGATATATCAGGGATATAACCCCTCTCAGCGGGTTCAACTTCCCCTTCCCCCTGCTTCTGCTGTTTCTATGCTTCTTTGTTGCTGCTTCTTTGCTGCTGTTGCTTCCTGCTGCTGCGGTTGCTGCTGCAGCTGCTGGTGCGGCTGGTGGTGCGGCTGCTGGTGCGGCTGCTGGTGCGGCTGCTGCTTGCTGCTGCTTCCTGCTGTTTCCTGCTGCTGCTGCTGCTGCTGGGGTGGTTGTGTGTTTCCTGTGTTGGGGTTGTATTGGGGGGGTGCTGTTGGCGCTCTCCTCTTTGGCCCTCCACCATGATATGTTGCGACTCCCGGCCTTTGCTGCCAAAATGGCCCCAGCGCTGCTTCTTCTCCTACCTTTCCCCACCCCCCCTGGACCACAAGTAGCGATGGCCTCCCACCTATGAAGTGAATCTCCACTTGATCATTTTCATCGCCTACCTTCCACATCCTTCGGCCCTTCACTCTCGAGGAGAAACCTACGGATTTACTAGCAGTGCAAACTTACTAATGGACCGCTGTGCTTTCCTGCAATCACATTGCAGTGGCTCCCCATTTCGCTTGACTGCCCTTCTCAAGTTGCCCTAAATTGCAGAGCTGACAGAATCGCATGGTTTTTGAAAAGAGATGATTTCCTCCAATTCGTACTTACTTCGGCCTTAAACCATTTCTTCGGTCATGTGTATCAAGAGGCAGGGCCAGGTCTTGCAGTGCAAGCACTTTACACCTTTTTGTGGAGACCACATATGGAAAATAGACTTGAATTTGATTGGAGGACTTGCACAGCTGAGGCGCGCTGAGCTGCACTTGATGGCCAATGCGTTTGCCAAAGATGCTGCAGATCCTGAACGTGACTTGTCAGGGTGCGTTCAGATCTGCGGGGCACGTCCGGGCGGTACACGCCGGCGTGCGGAAAGTTGTGCCTTTTGACGTGTAATCTCTTGAGGCATTCCCTCTTCAAAATTCTACTTAACGCGTGCCAGATCTCACCGTCTTATTTCCACACCTGAAAGTCATATGAGCATAATTGAGTGTACTGTGGGTGTGGAAATCTGACAGGGCTGAACCTGCCGCAAAAACACACTTTGCCAATCCGATCAGCAATAAAACGCGGGCACAGTATAATGCGAAAATACTACTGTATCCCGCTGGAGTGGTGTTTAGGTCAGGAAGTCAGTTTGCTGAGGAGTTGGCATTCACGACCAACATTTGGCGTTCTACTACCAGAAGTATTTCAAGCGCCTTGCTCAGCTGCGTCCAGAGTTTTTAAAGAGCGTGTAAGAGCGGAAGGCAATGTTCGATTTGGCATTCAAGCTTCGATTCTGTCAGCCACCAGTCTTTGCAAGGAAGCAGCTTGTCCCAAAGCACTTCAGCACAGAAACCACCGCAGAACTCGTTGAGAAGTTGCTGAAGGAAAGGGGTGCACTTTGTGGGAACTAAATGTTGAACACACAGGCAAAGCATATTGAAGCGATCACTGAATCGAACGTCGGCGGCAGCGGGATGAATGAGAGTTAGTTAGTTGATTCATGTTGTCAGGACACATTGTCATACGATTCTGATTTGGTGCTTGTTGCGAAGCATGGAGAGGCGTGACTGTCGATGGCAAGTTCAGTTTTTTCCAGGTTCATTTCTAGATCGGTTTGGATAATCCATCACTTGAACTCACTTCCATCTAGCATCATGAATCATTTACCTACGGTAGTGTGCATGTCAGGAGCTGTCTGACTTCGGCCTTCTTGTCAAGCTAACCGAGGCCACCATAGCAATGACGATAATGAGGAGTGTGGTTGGCTAGGGGAGTTTGCTTTAATTTGCTTTATTTATCCTGCCACCGCGAGAAGTTGCAAGAAGGCGTGCGTGACAGGCGGCCAGAAGAGAACGGCAAGCAAAGATCGACTCAGGACTGTTTGTCAGAGAGCTGAGTAGTGATTCCCTCTACATGGGCCGGCCAAACCGACCATGTACAAACAAATGCAATCAAATGCAGAAGCCACAGATACAAGTGCCGTCTTGAACTGGGAAACTCCGTCTTGCACCTCGCTAATACCAATCTTTACCATATTATAAAGGCAACCTTTAAAGGGCGATATCATGTTTGAGTATGTCAACTCACTCCGAACAACAGGCGATGAAACAGTGAAGCTGCGCTTCGAGCAGCAGACAATGCCACCACCACCTCCACAGCAGGTGCGAAGCTAATACTGCCGCTCATGTCAATGAGAACTGTATGATTTGTCAGCGGGCTGTTGACCATTTTTCCTTGGTTTCCTTCTCGTATATACACAGGACGAACCACGCACATAGTATATAGACAGGATTTTGTCTACATTCTACTGCCAAATTGCACAATCCAGGGCGCTTAACTTTGGGATAGGGTTTTATCTCAGGCATATATGTTTTAATGTCTCCAACCAATGGATCAAAGCAAATGAGAACAAAACTTGGAAAACACATTCAAGCTGGATTCATGGTTATAATTCCAGACTGTCGTTATGAATCAAGGCCGTGCCATTGCCAAGATCGTGTTTTCCTGGCCCCGTTGCATTTGGTTGGGATCATGCAGTAGACGGTGACAATGGACTGAGTGGACTAAGGAAGGTAATGTAACAAGAGACCCTGGCATGCAAAGACCAATCAAAGATCAATATTGCCTAGCTTTGAACTACAAGTCAGCAAACCAAATTGAAGCTAGAGATTTCAATCTCACTCAAAGAGTTGTCGTAGTTTGCAATGCCATGCTGGTGCTGGGGGAGAATCAGGGCCAGTATGAACAAGAAATTCCCTCCAGATGCGAGAAAATCTATGACCTCCTTTTGGTGAGTGCACGGCCTGTGCTGCAGCATGGGTCGAGCAAAGAAGTTTCTTGGCACTGCTGGGGCATTTTTGGCACCGGCACTGGGTGCCTGGAAGAAATAAAGTGTTCATCAAGGAGTCAATGATGCAGTAGTAAGAGGATGGTTGGATTTGCTTAGATTAACCTTAAAAAAAAGAAAAAGGCTAACTAAAACCGAGCCTTGGGTTTGTACTATGTGCGCGGTACAAAGTCAAGTTGGCTAAGGTCCAATCTTTTCAAGATGCAGCTATGATGATCATCGAAATGATGTACTCGAGGGGTCACAGTCAAGAAGATTCTTTGACATCTGCTTTGAAGCCATGCATCAAGCAACTTCATGGAGTAGCTGGAAGACCGGCATTTTCATTGGCCCAACTATATCGTTGTATGCTTTTGAAACTTGGATTCGGAATTGACAAGTTTATTGACATGCCAATGCTGACTAACTCCTGTTTGTTAGAACATGCAGGCAAACGATTGCTTTTCTTCAGTACACTAGTTACTAGTACTGTGTAGGCGGCAGGCGGCTTAATGTTCTAAGGAATATGGAGTTGAGGAACTCCTCCCGGTTTGGTGTTGCTTTGAAGACTGCATTGGCCCTGGCAAGTGGAAGTGTTTCTGCGGCAAGTGACTTTGGAGAGACTTGGACTTGGACTAAGGTATATATATATATGATACAATACTATATATACTTTACAGAGCGTTTGCATGAGAGCGTAACCAGCCCAGTGACAGTGACAGTGCTTAGTACAAGTAATTGCCCTTCGATATTCTATACCACCCAAATCACCCAAAGCATTATATATTATCCGAGGCCATTGGTGCAGACGATGGTGCAGAGGTCAAGGAGAAAGGACCTAGTGGTGCAACTTTGTCGAGAGGGCGGTGGAAGATTGACTTGTTCAATATGTTCTGCAGGCAGCATTTCTGGTTTAAGGAGGGATTTGAGTCCTTCTTTGTCAACCTTTGTAGCTTAGCTGAGCTGAGTTCAGCCTGGGTTTGGTTATGTCTGGTCATGTGTCATGCACTATGTTGGTTGAAATAGTAAATAGTATTGGTAATTAGTACAATATAGTAGGTAGGCTAGTAGCTAGGATGCTGTAGGCTCTGAGTCGGCTTTGGTCCACTGTTGTTCGTAATTGTTTGTCACTGACTATTGAATTCAGATTTTTTTTAAGACCTGACCTGAATGGTGAATGACTAGAATCTGAATCTGAATCAAACTATTTATTACAAACTGCTGCCACAGCAGTACGGATGCTGTTGCAAGACTCAATGCAAAACTCAGGCTATGATGCGACCAAGCAAAAACGCGAGCTTTTCTTGGTAGAAGAGTTTGTGGTTAGGCTCGGTGCAGGGTTCATCATCACAGATCGCAAAACAAAGTTGATTTTTTGCATTGGCACGCACGCACTGGCACTTACTGTAAGCGAAAATCATCAAAGTGAATCTTGGAAGCCAAGGTTCTTTAAAGGAGTGCTGAGTGATTGGTTCAGTTTTGCTTTTGCTTGCATTGCCTACCAACATCTTGGCTCAGGGTAAGCGACGCTGTGGACAAGTTCAAGGCGATCAGTCGGGACCAATATGATGACGATGGAATGCCTATGCCAGTAGATGAACTGGAATATGGACACTTGGAATGTGAAGCGCGGCTCCTTCCTATTGTCTGCATGGGGAAAGGTCGCTTGGTTTAGAGTCTAGAGTTAAGAGAAGTTGATAACCACAAACTGAGGTCTGAGACCTGAGGTCACTGAGGTCATCTGGTTTTTGTTTATCCTTGACTTTGACTCATAGGATGATTTGAGGCTGATCACAGATCACTGATCACTGATCAGGATGATATTTTTTCAACCAAATGATTACGAACCTTAGTATGATGTTTGGCTTTAGGAAGATTTTCTAGGATGTGCACATTAGGATGATTTTAGGATTTGTTATTTGTTTTCTGGCCAGCTCATAAGTCTAGAGGGCTGGCTGCAGCCATCCGCAACCCACTGCTGCCACTGCCATCCGCTTCTAAGGATTCACTGGATTCAGCCAGAAGTTAGATGCTCTTCTATTTGTTTTGGGATTGGAGGTCAATGTTGGCGACAGGGAGTCTTCTATCAAGAGGTACTGTGAGAGCGTCATTTCCAACCTCTCTGACCAGGGATTCTTAGATTGAGATTCAGGTGAGCAAATGCTTAAAAAACATAAATTGGTTCAGCAATTAATTCATAATTAGGGTCCTTCAACTTGAACTGCAATATAGCCACTGACTCTGTAAGACTCAGACTCAGTCAAGTCGTCCCAAGCCTTTTGTGAGCTCAACTCAACTCGGCCTGTTTACACACATTGAGGAACCGAGCTAAAGCTTGCGGACTCTGTCCAAGTCAGCATCTCGGATCTATGCAAGGACATGTCAATAGATGTGCTGAAGGGACATGACAAGGACACATGTGCCATCGGAGACATGCCCCAAAAGGCATTAGATCGATTAACCAACTTGCCTGCCATTGACAATGGGGCCGACCCTTCATACTACCCCACTTGGAATGGTCGCAGCATGATCTTGGAGGACGATTCAGTACCACACTTGCACGTTGTTGGGGCTTCTAGCACTCCTTCTGCTTCTGGAGGGGAAAATGCGCCTTCCCGCACAGATGATACTGAAGATGCCAGATGTGCACGCTTGTTTCCAAATTCTCTGAAAATATCTGGTGTGAAGCATATTTGCGACAACTTGTTGCATTCGATATTATCTGGGCTTACAGTGTGCCTGAGCTTCAAATCAACTCACTTCACTGTTCAATTTGTTTCTTTTGTTATATGTAACTTAAAGCTTATAACTATAATAACTATACTACTTCTAAGTCTATATAGAATATAGCCATAGCTATTTTAGTAGTTAGTTTGGGGATCGTTATGGTACCACTGGTGACAGCCAGTGACAGCCAGCCACCAAGAATGAGGTGGGAATCCCTTTTGCCCCGGCTGCATTCACTGGATGCCTTATTGGGCAACATTGATTGGCGAGAGAGATTCGTTGCCGTGTGCCTGGCAAGCAGGCCAATGGAAGAGAGGAATGCTGTCCTCAATTTTGCGGGAGACACTCTCAGTGGACTGCGATGGGAAGTCATTTCCAACTTTTGCAAAGCTGCACCTTGTCACAGTAGTCAGTGTCAGTAGTCTTGTGAAATTCTTTGTCTGGTAACTGGTAACTGGTAGACATTGAATCATCAATTATGTTTTTGTTTCATTTCATGTTGATTGCATTTTTGATATTTTTGGATAATGATATTAATATTATGTGATATTTTGTTTTGTCATTCATTGTGTTTGTTATTGTTTGTCACTTACCAGTTTTAATCTAAAAGTTATATACTTTTCCTCTAGCCTATCCTGTTTCATGTGTCCTTTAAATTTATGTACTTTTTCCTATCCTGTCCTTTCAACTTCTTTAACTTTATTCTTTATTTTGGATCATGTTCTTTAAACTTTCTTATTTTTCCTATCATTATCATTATCATTTAACTTTACATATTGTGTAAATGTCCTTCAAAATCCTAAAATGTCAAGAGTCAAGGCGCGTCGGGACAAGTGCAACCCCCCAATTATTGGTCCAATCCTGATCTCAATGCAGAATTGGGAATCAACTTACGCTATTTGCAACCAGAAAAGTTGGCACCGGACCGCGTTATAACTGAGTAAGTCATTGCCTGTCACCTCAGGTTCTTCCGCTAGAGGGCCTGCTGCGCACTGGCTGGAACTCACGAGCCTACTTGCGAGGTGTTCCTGCTGAAGGCCACCGTGCTTTGGTGCCAGAAGAATCTACCAGGGCAAACTTGACCAGGCTTGGCCAATTGATGAGCAGTGATACCGATTGGGCATACATTGAAATGATCTGCCTTTTGGCAGAAGAGTGCGAGCTGATTGGGAAGTGGGCAGAAGGCTGCCCATGTCACTTGCGGAGAGTGCCCACGCAACCTTTGTCTGGAGCTGGAGCTGTGTTGGCAATTGAAACTGTGCTTAAATCCAAGCCGCAGCAAAAGAGGAGGAAAGCAAGGATCAAGCTGACTCAGGGAGATAGGGAAGCTGCAAGTTGCAGCTTCAAATGCTGCAGGGCGCCAGAATTGGCTACTGGTCAAGCACTTGCATTGCAGCAGTCCACCATGGATTCTCACAAGTCTCGGATAAACAGTATTATTTGCAGAGTGCCTACAAATCAGAGAGGGGAACTGGTAGCATCCTGGTCAACCGCACGTTCCCGCATGACTGGACAGTTGACTGCCAAACTTAGTCATTGGGGAGAGCTGCCATGGATACTCTGTCAGGTGCTTAGTACGGGAGCTGAGCTAGGTCGAATTGTTCCCTC